CGCGCTCCGCCCTCCGGGTCTTCCCGGCGACCGAGGGGGCGTGCGCGTCCCTGAGAGCCGGGCGCAGGCGGGGCGGAGCTGCCGGGGTGCTGCGGCTGGAGCTCAGGGCACGCGTCGCGCCCAGCGATTGGGCCCCACCCGCGCCGCAGCCCCGACCCCCAGACTGGGTGGGGAGCCACGCGGGGACAGCGAGTGGGCCCAGGGTCGGAAGCAAAGCAGCTCGGCCTTGCCTCGCCGGGAGACACGCCGAGGTGTGGGAAGACCCGCTGCACGGAGCGTAGTGTGCAGTGCACGCATGCACGAGCGGTGCGTGAGCCACACTTGAACCTTGAAGTTTTCTGTAGCCACGTTAAAGTAAACAGAAGCAGGGAAATTAAATCATATTTAGCTCAATGTGACTGAAATACAACATTTCTTTTGAGATACTGTATTTGAATCTGATATGTTTGTATGGTACACCTGACTACTCAATTTGCATTGGAAATAACTTCATTTGCATTTGGATTTCCTAAGATTCACAGTTGAAGATTCTGTGGATTTACATTCCCAACTTGTACCAAATTTAGTTTTTTGGTTTTTTTGTTTTGTTTTGTTTTTGCAGAACCGGAGATTGAACTCAGGCCTTTGCACTACTGAGCTATCTCTCCGGCCCCCAAGTTTAGTTTTCTAATTACCAGATAGACTAACACTTTTCAAATTTATATTCAGTTCAGTTATACCGAGCTAATGTCTGGTTTCAGTTTTGGCAAAGGGAACAATACAGGACACATTTTATATTATTTGAGTATAATCACCCAAGAATCATATATAGCAAGTGCGGGAAATCTGTCCTCACACTAAGCACCAAAGAATCCAGCTGGGGACTTAACGCTCCTAACAGTGCCTCCTACCAGTCCCAATGGAGGCGTAGAGCCCACAAAGTCTCATGCACGCCTGCTTTACACATCTCTGCTAGAAAGGCGCAAAGGTCATCTGGGTGGAGGCTAGAAAATCTATGCCAGTGGGATGAAGGATCTGTGCTAGCAGGCTGAGGGATCTGCACTGGAGCGAGGAAGCAACACTAGGTAAGCACCAGAGCCCCCCAAAAGGACCCCAGCCATCGTCCGCAACAGTGAGGTCCCCAGCTCCCTCAGTGATAAGGAAAGCCGAGTTACCAAAGTTCACTGCGAAAGCCAGCATGACGGGGTCCTCCAGCAGAGCAGCCCAAGAGAACTAGCAGCTTCCAGCGGCTCCTCCAGACAGCATCCCTAACAGCGTTCCTGCAGCTTCTCCTCTTCCGCCTCTTATGCTGCTGGCAACCACTTTCAGCTGGGCCACCCACACCCAGTACTACACTAGTTTAATTCAGCTGGGTGTAACAAGTTGACCACTAGATAGAAATCCACTGCAGCTAGGTAGTTGGATATTCAGTCATGGTATGCACATTGAAAAAGCTCAGGTGCCACTCAGTGGCTATAGTGTCAAACAATGCAGGTAGATGAAAATGTGAAATTATGCAATTAACCAAATGAGCTTTGGCTTATCTGCAAGGGAAATACTTTCCTTTCTGTAACTTTCCATAGGGAAGCTAACACATGCTATTAAGCACCTGCTGTACACCAAGTACTTTTCCCAAAATAAATACATTAAAAAAGCATAAGCCTATTCCTAAGTCATTTCAGAGTGAGCAGGTGTGTGTCAAGAGGGAATTCAAGTGGAAAAACAGCAGAGGGGTGGGTGGTGGCTCAGTGGAAAAAGTGCTTGCCTGGCAAGTGCAAGGTCCTGAGTTCGATCCCTGTGACACACACACACACACACACACACACACACACACACAAAACCAGCAGAGAGTTGAGGCCATATACATGTCAAGCAGATTGTTGGGGAGGTCAGGGTAATGGTGGCTGGACCACATTCCTGGCCCACCTTTTATTCTTTGTGTGTGTGTGTGTGTGTGTGTGTGTGTGTGTTACAGTAACAGTTTATTTATATCCACAAATATAAATTTCATATAGTTTTCACATGTAAAAATTCTTTTTCTTGACAGCATCGATCTCAATTTATGATTATTTCGTTTTAACCTCCAGAGTAGCTGGGATTATAGGGGTGACCCACAAGACGTGGTGAGCCTCAGTTCTAATCCCTGCTGTGTGCTAGGGATTGAAGTATCATCTTCTAAACTCCACAGATCTCCTGCCATGTACACAGGCTTGCCCCCACACAAACACTTGTCCCATTGGGGAACCACAGCCACACTTTCAGTATCCATGTTCCTAAACTCAGTGGCAGGCACCTCTGGCAGGAAGGCTGTGGGTGAACTGAATTCACAAACTGATTCAGCAGTCAAGAAGAGTTTATCAAATATTAACTCCAGTTTGTGAGGAGGCATAATGAACACACCCTCCTTGGCCAGAGTCTCCTGTGACACAGTTGTTATCTCCCCCTGGCCTGTCATATTGTTGTTTGGGCCATTCTCCTTCCTTACCTCTTCACTAGGGACATAAGGCCTCTCTAGTTCCTGGTACCTTCAACACATCGGTAAATATCACTGTGACGTTCTTGAATCTTAAGTTTGGATGACAGGTAAGCTTTTGGTGATGGCTCCTCTGTGGTGCGTCTGGAGAGGGTCACGAAGCCACTTCTGTTGCCATGAACAGCATCTGCACTATCCAGAAAACATGCCACCCAACAGTTCATTTAGAGACTATACAAATATGATCCTTTGGCCAAAACCTTGTGGACAAATCAACCTTTCCTAACCTGGTTAATTTACTGTATCAGTCACATCTGCAGTCTAATCCCTACCACACCCATGGAAAAATGGGACTAACCTGTTTTCATACAAGTAAAGGGTCTCACAGTCAGTAAATGGTGAACTCTAGAGTAGATAGAATGTATATTTAACATTTTGCGCTGCTCTCACCTTGCCCTTATCACAGGGCCCTTTATACTTAAAAAGTAATCTAGCGGGTTCTTAATTACTTCAAGCAATCACCTTCCTTCTCCAACTGGAATTATCTCTTGAAAAACCTATTTTTCTTACCTTGCTCGCTTGATGCGCGGGCATCTCTTCGCCCCGCCCACTGGGCCGCGACTCGTCCAGGCCACGCCCCGCAGCCTGCCACGCCCCGCGCACCGCCCTGTGGCCCCGCCCCCGACTCGCCCCGCCTCCGCCCCGCCCCGCCCGCGGCCTATAAGATGCGGAGCGGCGGACCTCGCGGAGCGGTGGGCGCGGGACTGGGCATGCTCGGCAGCGGTCGCGCAGCCTCTCGTCACAAGTAGGGGAAGCCAGTACGCGACACGGGCGCGGAGGAGCGGGGCTGCCGCCTCGCCGCGCTCGGGGTCCGCGGCCGCCTCGGCGGGGAGCAGCGGGCGAGGCGCGGCC